TTAGTTATTTTAATTATTTGCTTTTTTTATTTTATAAATTACTGAAGGGTCATGGTCTCCTAAAAAAAATGAATCAAAAGGGGAAAGCAGACTAGCAATCAATTAAAAGCTTGTAATGTTAATTGAACTCTTTAAGCACACATTACCTAAACGATTTACATTTTTTGCTGTAATCACTCGATTGGATATTTGATTAACCAACACATAATTAAATTTTCATTCGTAATTGAATTTAATCATCAAGCAATTAGGAAATGAGTATGGTGGAATCCAAATCAAATCCTCTCCCCAACTCGGCCAACGGCTCATTTAGCAGCCGTAACACACAACAAATTATAGCTGGCGTTTTCATAATCAGCATTTTTCATTTCCTTTGGCGAGGTGTGCCACGCCCCTGGACAAAGGAATTTTAACTAAATTATGCTGGCCCTTTGTTGTTAGCCTGATGCCCGCTGGACACGTCACGAACGGGTTGGTTTTGGTTTTGTTTTTGGGTTCGGTTTCTTTTTCTGTGCCTGTAACGCTTATGTTTCCGATTTGAATGTGGGTTTGGGTTGGGCTCTGGCCCCCCGCAGTTTTTCCTTCGGGGCTGTGACAAACGAATGTTCCTCGAAGTCCAACGTTGTTTCCAGAACTGCCATAAGAGCCGGGTATCGTAAACCATAACTAGCATTTTCGGTTTCATTAGAAGCGCTTTTCCTAGCTTTCCAGCCTTCTTTTGCTACCCCTTTTTTCTGTTTTCTCGCCGACTGCACTTTTTGCCAGACATTTTTCCAGCTTGGCTGCCGTATTAGTTCTTTCCAAGGCATTAGTTTAGTGCTGGGCGTGTGCGGGTTTTTGATTTATGGTCTCGAATTGTGCGAGTTGCGTTTTTTATGTTAATTAAATTGCTTTCCTCGGATTGGATGGGGTCGCCCTGCTATTTCTGTTCTCGCTGCTGAAGTGCATGTTCGCCGATGCCTGACTAAGTGCACTTGGTCATCCTACCCGCCAACTTCAGCCGGCTCCATCCTGGCCAAAAGCAGACCGACGTCGAACCAACCGCTTTTGACCCGCCTGAGCAAATGAACTGCATCACGCTTATTGTCACTAAATGCTGTTGACCCAGCAGGAAGGCTTGGCTGCTCCTGTTCAGGTCTTATGGTGCTCCATTCTCGAGTCGATTTGAGTCCAGTTGAGTCGGGGAGCTGTGGCAGTTATTAGAAATTCCATTATGCATGTGTATGGGGTGCCCATGTGGGCTGTGTCAACACTGACGGTCTGGATTCAGGACTCTGGACAGGTGGCTCCTCATTTCAGATGCACTGCAACTTGATTACTTCTAACTGAAAATGTAAAAGCAGCTGAATTGTATTAAATCGCCGTAAAATACCAGTTGTGTAATACATATAATTGCTAATTACAAAATAATTACCAATCATTAACTACGTTAATACTCTTGTTGAAGCGCTGAAATTTTAGAAAGATAACAAGCATTAGCGAGCTAGGCCACTTCAAAGTGCTTTTAATTCCCGAGACCGCAGCTCAGGAATAAATTCGCATTTCCCAGGCAGCGTTTTTCTCAGTGCGCCCATCTCTTCCCAAGCCACCCACTCCTTTCCGAGAACCGGCTATTTCTGGTGAATGATAAATCTTTCAATGAGCTGGCAGTCGTGCAATAAGGACGCTGGTGGAAAACCGAAACAGCAACAGGGGGCTGGAGTGGCGGACCCTTGGCAAACAAGCCAAGGAGCAAAACGGGAAACCCCCTCCATTTTCATTGGAAAGCTGCAACAAAAGCCTATTAAATACCGAGACAATGCCACCCACACGTACACATGAATGCACATAGATATTACATGCCAGCTGGCCGGGTCTTGTTTGTTTTCGGCCTCCCTGATATGAAAGCGACTCTGCAAATTATTATGCTGTGATATTGGACCCACTCCGATTCGGCCCACGTTTGCTTGGGTGCCTGCCATGTTTTGAACCTCAGGAACTCAGCAATCCGTAAGCTAGCGCAGTGTTTGACAAGCAATTCCAAGCTCGCAACGAATCGAACACAGTTTACGGCAGGTCTTCAAAGGGAATCGCTCAGCTCAAATCTAAAACTGGTGTACAGGTCCCGAAAACACAATTTCACTCTTTTTTAGGTATCTTGTGGCACAGAGAGAAATACTGCACTTCGTGGCATGATGTATATTACCAAATCTTAAGACTGGTCTTTTAATATAGAAATGCATATACACATAGATAGTTTAATATACAAAAGAAAAGTTTACTTAAAAGTACTGCATCGGCGAAGATAACTGGGATACAAGTGGAATAAAGGTGCAAACAATTTTCCCACATAGTCTGTGGTTTCCGCGAGTATTCACCAATCGCCCGGGAAGCTCGGTAGAAACGGCAACTAATTGCAATTGGTATCACTTGCGGCTGCGACGAATGACGCACTCCGCCCAGATTGGAAAAAATGGCGGGAAAGTGCTGTGAAAAGCGTCCACTGGCCCGAGGGGAGGAGGGCAGTTTCGGGGAAAAGGAATGCGAGCAGGACAAAGAGATTGGAAACAAACAAGCCAGGTGCATTGATATTTAGCAGGTGAGCAAATCCTCAGTCTTTGACGATATTCCTCTCCAGGAAAGGTGGGCTGCTTTTTTCCGGGTCCTTACTTTGGCTGCCATGTAAACAAATCGCAAAAGGATAAGGACAAGGCACTTGTGAGCTGGCACTTAGCAGAATCGAACAAATATGTGACTTTTGCACAAACTTTTTACCTTTCCAACTATATCTCGAGTGTGCGTGTGGATTTATAGACATTGTTTGGCTGCTCTCTGTTGCTTTTCCCCAGGTTTTGCCCAGCTTTTCCCCAGGCTTTCCCCAGGTTTTCCCCAGCACCCGGCTGTGTGCTATGATTTCTTGCTGCACCTTCCTGCACCTAAACACTAACAAGCAAAGTTTTCCGAGCAATAAGCAAGTATTTGCGGTTGCATTTCGCCGCTTCTGCTGCTGTTGCTGCTTTTTTGGTCCGGAAAACTGTGAAAGCTGGAAAACTCTCAGCGGGCGGGACTCTCTCTCCGGCAACTACACTTTCCAATTTTCAATTGGCAAACAAGCGGAATTTTCGATTTCAGTGAGCAAATATTTATGCGGCTAGCAAGGACTTTAAGGTACTGCTTAACTCAAGGCAGGTGTTTTTGCACCGCAGGACGTGCACCGCAGTACATGCACAGATTAAGGGTATATAACTTTTGTTGAGGCTCATTTAAAAAGTGCAGGGGAATTGTATGCAGATCAAATTTACATACCAAATCGCAAATATTGTGCAGCAGCTGCCATGTACTATTATTTCGAAGGCACATATTTACTGAAACATATTCCACATGCGTAGACAAGAAACAGAGTAATTTAAAGTCCATACAATGCGTTATACGGCCCTGCGTTCTTTATTTTGCAATTTACTGTTGCCCAGGCACCGGTGTCCTTGGCCAGGACACAGAGGCAGTTGGCCAATTATCCTGGCCGGCCCCGCTGGTCATTAAGGTCAATGTGCAAGAATTCATTTTACAGCCTGCAAATAGAGTAAATGTTAAAGGGCAGCTCGACAGCGGCACTGGCATAATGAAAATCCTGCTGATTTTCCCTGGCATTTCCCATGCAGTCGCAGAAGATATCGCCCGATATGCAAAGAACTCCCGAAGGTAATGAATTACGCACAGCTGGCATGTAGAAAAGGAATGAAGACAATTTTATTTTATTCGCCTCGCGAGAGATTTACAAGGAACCGAATCCTTGCCCCGCGTTCCACGGACTTTTCTCGGATTTTCCCGCTCTGCCCGCTTTCTCACCCACAAAGGGGCTGTTGGGAAAGCCGCAAATTATGTGCCATTATTCTTAAGGGCACAGCCGCATGAAATGTGACCCAAATAAGATATAAAAAATTTTTGAGTGCCTTGTTAGGCTATGTTGGAAATGCTGGCAATCGCTTGTAAAACACCAGCTCCAGAGCGGGATAGCGCCATTGGGCCAGCTGTGGGCTAGAGAGAGAGGCCTGGGCGCCTTGAATTATGCTACGCATTTGTTGACAAACGACTCTGAAATGGGCGGTCATAAAGTTGCCGGAAATTGGCGTTGATTGTTTGGTAATTAATAAAAGTTGGCGAGCAGGCAAGAAAGTGGCCCAAGTAAGTGAAGGTCGCGAAAAACTCGGCCCAGGGTCCATAAATCTGGCTAAGTGTTTGTCTTAAATACAAAGCGTACCCTCAATGATTTATAATGTACGATTTTAGTTTGGCACTTCTATTGGAATTTTGTTTTACACCACCAATGAATCGCAGTTGCAAGCTATCTTCGTTTGGGCTTACAAATGGACAGCGGTTTTATTATAATATTCTCAATTTAGTAATATTCGGTTACATAACTGGCCCCGCAAAATCCCACCATAATCGAGCTTTCAAAGTCTGCAAAAACATTTATAAATCATTTAAGCGCCAAATATGACAATCAATTGACAGGAACATGCACAAAAACAAGCTGCCAGGCGTTTTAAATACTCTAAAATGTCATTTCAATTCTAATGCAGTTTTAGTGACTTTTTAAAATGCAATTTAAAAATGCAAGCGTTTCCGAAACTATAATTTGATCATGTTTTTTGGTAAGCATATAAAATCCAACTTATTGTCGTGACGACTCCAAATGATAAAAGAGTATCGCAAAAAATTGACCAGCTAAATTGAGTTTTCAGCATATTTGCATGCCATTTTAAGCATTTTGCCCGCCGGCGAACCCAACACCGCGAAAACCAATGCCAACTGCAAACGCCTGCAACTGAAATGCAAGCAATTGCGGTGCAGTTAAGCGCCGGATTATGTGTTATCAGTGTCGCAGGAAAGTCCGCTTTCGGACAATATTTCAATAATTTATTAAAATAAATACACTAAATTGGAATCCCCCGGCTTTGCGTTCGCACGTAATTCCATCAGCGTTTTTTCACATCAACCTGTTTCCTTTCATGTCTTTTCAGAGCTCGTCGAATGCGCGCTGCGCAATGTCAATTTAATAATCGAACCGCCGGCGGTGCGACGGGGCCAGCATGTGGTGCTGCGGTGCATGTACGACCTGGACGGGGCTCCACTGTACTCGGCCAAGTTCTACCGTGGCCAGCTGGAGTTCTACCGCTACACGCCCGGCGAGTTTCCCAACACGAAAGTGTTTCCATTCCCCGGCATTCACGTGGATGTAAGTATACATCGCAATTACAAAGTATCTGTAAAAAGAGGGTGATGGGCCTGCAACCGAACAAAGTGATACCCTGCATTATAAATCTGATGTGCGCATATCTTGTATTTATCATAAAGTGGAAATGCCTTGAGATACGTTTAGCAATAGCTCTATTTGGTAGTTAGGAAGGCGTGCGACCTGCAGACGAAGTACATTGAAACTACTGCACCTGACTGAAGGATCCAAGAGCCATGTCCTTTGCTGGTCACTGCGACTCAGTCAGTCTGAAAGGAACCAACCAGCGAGGCTCCACTTTGATGTCCTTAATTGCGCGCACACTGCATTTATTTATATTGTATATTTTAAACTTTCCGCTCATGCATATTCAGTTTGGCAGTTTTATTGTTATTGGCGGTTATTCAAAAAATGCCTGGGGACACCTGGCCGCCAGGATGCCTGCCGTCGGAATGCCGGCTTTTGTGGGCGCTATCAACGCGCGGCTATCTGCGGCAAAAATTTCATTTAAATTTTTGCATGCTGCGTCTGAGTTTTGTCGCCCACCTGCAAAAACTGCAATCTGCCGAGCGAAGGGGGCGTGGCTGGCTGGAGCTGAGGTCGGAGAATTGAGTCTCGGATGGGGTAATTCTACTTTGGCTAGATTATTGAAAAAGTTTATCCAGCCGATGGTGGGTTGGTTGCCAGGAGTAGTGGGAGCTGGAAGCTGGAAGCTGGGATCCATGCAATTTCGTTGCTTCGATAAAGTTGCTCCGAATCTGGCTAAATATTTCATCAGGCTATTGAGTTTGTGCCAGCGAGTTTATCTTTAGTTTTTGTATGTACTCTGCTTTTTATTTTATTTGGCTGCCTTGTTTTTTCTGCGTTTTGTCATCGAAAACTTTTATTTTACCCAGCCGAAGGCAATTTTTGTCCTTCCTTTTGCTCTCCTGTCTGGCGGTTGAGCTTGTATTTGTTTGCTTTTTAAGCTGTTTTAATAAATTTAAGTGCATTTCTTTGTTGGTCTCGATGTCAGATTGCGGACAGCTGAGCGATGGCAGGTGGGTGTCGATTTATAGTTGTTCCAAGTGCAGCATAACATGCTTCTTCGGCGGAAAAAAGAAAACACCAAGTGCTTTCCGAACATAGATACAGATATTTAGCTTTTTTTCTACTGAAAGTAGTGAGATCCTGTTTGGTACAGTATTAGTTGCAGGAGTGTGATTTTCCACCAAGGCGGTGAAGGATAGAGAAGGGCTTAGATATGTAAAGCACACTTAAGCATTAACATAATTTGTATTGCAGGGACATTGCCCTTGTTTTAACCCGTGCTTAGTACTTAATACTGCATCTGCTCTTCTGCTCAACAGGTAAGCAGCTCCAATGCCACCCAGGTGCTGTTGCGCAACGTGGGATTCGGTCTCTCTGGCAACTTTTCATGCGAAGTGACCGCCGACGCCCCGCTCTTCTCAACCGCCACCGCAGTGGACACCATGCAAGTTGTTGGTAAGTCCGACTCTAAGCTGATTCAACCAAATTGGCCTAAAGTGCGCTTAAAAGCTTTCAAAGCAGCGGCGGCGAGCGAGTGTATCAGCTCTTTTGGGCAGCCTTTGACATAACTCGCCTTTGATCGTCGGTCATCGTTCCGTGGCTGCGTTCGGTATCCACAGTCCAGAATCCAGCATCCAGAATCCCAAATCCCGTGGCTGCTTTTCGAGCGGGAGATAAAGTTTTTCGCCTTCTTGGCAATTTGTTTTTGGCCGGGCCAAGGTCGCAGCAGATGTTTCTGCTGGTTGCCAAAGTTTGCGCTGAAAATTGCGTCATTAACAGGCCATTTCGTCTTTGCCAGATAAGCGGGTTTGCCGGCAATGAGGCGCTGGCTGGTTCAATGGTTAGGTGGTTAGGCGGTCTTCGGTGGTTCTGGATGGGGCACCTGTCTGGGGGTCATTTGGTAGTCCTACCTGTGCTCCACGCATTTCACGGCCTTATGCGCTTTAAATGAGCGTGTAGCCCGCGCTCTGAATTACGAATTTAATCAGGGTGCCGGGGTCATGAAATCCAATGGGCGCCAGTCATTTTCGGCTTAACAATTATTTGTCCTTTGCTTAGCCAAAGTGATACACTAGGAATTTTTTGGCTGCCGAATTTTGAAATGAATTTTCTTGGCCAGTTAGCCAAACGTCTACGTTAGTCCAATTAAAAAGTTGCTTCGATTTAAGTCCTCTTAAAAGATTACTTCCTTTTTAAGAGGTAGAAATAAAATATTTTGTATATATCAATGCCTAGCAATGTGTGCTACTCTCTGAATTACATATACAACTTACGGAACCCCTGTGTCCCTAGTGCATGCTCCGTGATGCACAACAATGTGGCCTCCACTTGTGCTTGCTTTGTGTGGGGTTCGGTGCCATATGGGGCGTATGCGTAATGCGACCTAAATCGATGGCGCAGCTTCAGCGCTCGTCGGAGTTAATCTTTCTATCCGCTTGGCCTCAAGCATTCGAGAAATGCGCTCCGACAGCTAAATTGTGCTTCATACGCTGATTTTTATGCCACTTGCTGGGCAGGATTTATTTGCCACGCCCCGCGTTGTCCTGAAACCCTTCGAGGGTCCTGCCTTCCGAGAGGGGAAAGCCCGCTGTGTTTGTGCGTGTGTTTGATTGGGAGCTCGTCTGGGTTAATGGCTCACTGGCTGCTTGTTGCCCGGCATTAAACATTCAGATGTCTGCCGTTCTGGCCTGGCCTTTATTAGATTGCCATTGCCGTTGCCTCTGGCTTTGGCTGTGGATCTGCCACCGCCAGCCGTCAACTATATATTTAACGCCGCATTTAGCCCATTTAATTGGCCGCTTTTGCGTAACTAGCATCTGGGGATTAAAGCCTTTGATCGTGTATTTGTGTATTTACTTTAAATTCATGAGGCCGCGCTCAAGGACGCCGCCAACTTATTAAAGTTTCATTACAGGCTGCGGCATTTAATTGGTTGCTCACTGGTCGTGGCTCCTCGGTCCTTGGGACCACCGAACATACATCAATGCCGGATAAGCCAGTTGGGAACTGACACACTGACAGCCCAACAGCCCAGCAGCCCAGCAGCCAAGCAGCCTCAAATCTCGGGCTTTGGCGGCTTCCCCTCTGTATCTATATCTTGCGGGTTCTGTAAGTTCGTTTCGCTGGGTTCTCGGCTGTGGGCTTCTGCGGCTTAGGCCTAATGTCGTCGACACTAAAACCCCAATAACTTGCCGGCTAAACAATAAATTACTGTAGCCAACAGCAGGCAGAAACAGCCACGGACACCATATTGCTTCTACACAGAGCGAAAACTATATTACATTTCCAGCATTGACTACAAAACAAATCAGCATACATTAACTTTTTTCCGAAGGTTAGAGTCAAGATTTTATTCAGCTTAAGAACCATCTTAATTTGTGCCACACGCTCTTTCTCAGCGCTCCATCTTGTACGTCTTCGGTAAATCAGATTTTCTCGACTTTAACGACTCACAGTCATCTCATCTGCGTAAACTTGCGCTTTAATTTCATCGATTCAGCGCATAGTTTTCCCGATGGCTGGCCGCCTGATGTTTTATGCATCGAGTCAGCGTCAGCGGGCTGCTTTTGGCCAGGTTTAGTTGTGCGCACTCATTCGCTTATGCAGCCGCGTCGTCCTCGGTGTAAATAACTCTGAGGTTTAATCGTGTGTTAATGAGCTCAAGTGGCAATCAGATTGCGGCCCAAGGATCCAGGGAACCAGGGATCCAGGGAGCCGGCGAGCAGCCCACTGAAAGGAGGTTGCGTCTCGACGTCGGCGTGGCACATAAAATAAACACTTTGTCCTTGCGGGGCGGGCAATTCAAGGCATTCAGCCGGCTTCAAGGACACCACGGGGGTGGCGGGTGGTGTGAGTGGGGCCCGGCCCAAAAAGTTATGCTAATTCGGGCTTTCATTAAGTCACAGCCCCCATCACAGCCCGTCTTCTTCGGCTGGCACAAGTCAAAAGTTTATAGTTGGCAAACATTTGGGCAGCCTTAAGTTTAATAACTTAATGACACGAGTCGGGGCTAAAACCAAGTGCAAAGTAGGCTGGTCAGCAGCTAAATTAAGCTCGAAGGGCACGGACTTACACTGGTCGAGGCGAATAAGTTGTTGACTAAATTGCTTACAGAAAATATGGAGTGCTCTTCATTAATGCGCTGTTGTTTTATTTCAATAATTCATGTATAGTATTCAGCACTAACGCGAAAGGACCTCCACAAATTGTAATGGCGGCTTGGTGCATGAAACTGAATATCCTTGTTGAAGGATTGCTCATGTGTTCTGTCCAAAGCTGTAGTTCTTTAGGACAGTGTGCACTCGCAGGCTGACCCTCATTAGGGGGAATTTGACGGCGGAGTCTCAAAGGCAAAGGCGAAGGCGAAGCAAAAGCCCGGCAAAGAGGCATTCGATGGTGGCCCGTAAAAAGGTCAAAATCTGCAAGGCAAAAAGCGCAGGCGGCCAAGAGAAAAAGAGGATGGGGATTAGGCAGCGAGCCACACAGAGGTCCTGAAAGCAAAAAGTTGCCTCGGGGCGGGAAAAAGAGCAAAGTTGCCGCCGCCTTTGTCATGGAAATTACTTTCTTCATTAGTTACTTTGTTTCTCTCCCGGGTCTTGTGGTAGTCCTTCCCATCCAGGCTCCATTCCGGTTGACTTAATTAAAAAGTTAGGCGTGGCGAGTGCCAGGATCTTCAACTTGCGGTTGTGATTGAAGGGTGTCCTGGTCTTCGACTGCACTTACGCGCCTATTAATGTGTTTTGTGTCGGGTGGGTCAGCTAATTGAATTGTTCCAGCTTGAGCCCTTTGCTGCATCCCAAATTGTCACCTTTCATGCCTCAGAGTTTTAATCGACTTCCTCCTTCAAAAGCAGCAGCATAAACAAAATATAATAATTAGGTATTAAAAGAATTTTGGAAAATGTGTGTGCTGGAAATAGGCAATGGGAAACTGGGCTAAGATATCAGAACCTCAAAGCGCGAGGCTTGTGATTCATTTGTTTTCTACTAACGATTAAGAGTTCTGCTCTATAATGTCACTAAAACTGAGCGTTTTATTCTCCCTGTTTTTCAGAACTGCCCGAGAAGCGTCCCCAGGTTTTCACGGAACACACACGCTACGAGCCCGGCGATGTCCTGCGGGCCAATTGCAGCACTCCCCCGTCGCGTCCGCGGGCAGAACTCACATTCACCATCAACAACTTGGTGGTGAGTACTTGCAACACGACTTTCAACTCCGCAATCACTCCCATGAAATATTACCGACCTGCCGGCCGGTCTTCTTCAATTTACTTCATGTTCCCGGCGAGAGCGGAATACAAATCTGACAGCGGGTCAGCGGCTATTTCGTGTAGCCGAGCAGATCCTTTGAAGTGTGCTTGTCTATTCTGCTGAGAAATGAACATGAAAATGGGCTAGGACACGACTTTAATCAAAAGGGTTCTGTTCCGGCTTGTTTCTTCTTGTTTTTTATTTTTTGTGGCTTATTTTGCAACATTTGCCTTGGGGGGCTCGTCCATCCGTCAACGTGGCGTATGCGCAATTTCACAGCCTGCCAGCGAGCGTGAGGATTGTCATGTGTATTAACAATGCATATGAGGAGGCCAAAGAGGAAGAGTCTGCCGCATCTGTGGCCCGAATGCCCGTTTTGTCATTTAGTTACTGTGAAATACGGATTTCTATGCGGTAGCAAGCTCCAACCGCCAGTGTCAGTGATGTGCAAGTTTGATAGCTAAAAATTATGTATATCATTAAAAATAACAGGTTTTTTAAGGGCTTTAAACCCAATATATTATGCTCTTAAGATTAAGATTTATTGCAGATACAGTAAGTTTCCAAATAGCCGCTCAGAAGGGTTTAAAATAGTCCCACCACCTTGCGAGTCGGTTAAAACTAAAAACACTATAAGCTATTATTATTTGCTTTTGTCACAATGTAAGCATTTAGAGGTTGAACACTAAAAATGATTTTAAAATTAATTTTAAGTGAGAAATCTATGCGAAAAGCTGGCAACACTGAGGATGAGGAGCAGTAGCATCTGTGCGACGGCGTCTTCCCAACTCTCATGGCTGTCATTCCTTGGATTTTCACTTTTGGTTGCCGTCGTGTTGCCATTGTTGTCCTGCGAGCGGTTCCAGTGCAATTTTATGAATATGCATGCCACATGCTCGCTCCTCCTTATTTTCCTGCTTATAATTTCGACCCAGGCCCGGATGTCAAGAGCAGTTCAGGTTCAGAATCGGTCAAGGCGATGCCTCTGCTCGCTCTATTTGCGGTTGAAAAGGGTAGTTGTCTGGGCCAGAGGCACTCGAAACTAAGGAGTCTGTGTTTTCTGAGTCCACGTGCCTAACAGGTTGCCCACGTTCTTTTTGCTCCACCATTCAAAGGCAGTGCAACTGCATAATCGACCCTTTTGATTTTCAAGCTGCTTGCTATGCTAAAGATAAGTCCCGCTGAGCGGTTGGGAAAATTGTTTATGGTTGGGGCTTAGTTTAGTATGAATGCATAATGTTCTATCATAAAAGCTTCCAATTGGATTGCGGTTGCAACCAAGCGAGTGCGTGTGCGAACTCCATGGGATTATGTCTTGCACCTGTCTATGAACTCAAATAAAGGAAAGCTTTCCCTCAATACTCTATTATGCCATATTTGGAGATATTTTAGCAATCTTAAATTCCATCCAAGTGCTTAGATGGGAACGTTTCCCTTTGTTAGTTGAGTAGTTTGTTATCCGCAAAGCCTTTAAGTTGCTCTTTTCATTGAATTAGTCTAGAAGTGTGGCTATCAAGCGTCCTGATTTTATTAACATAATTCCCCTTTAAGGAAGGGCTCTCTATTAGTCCGGAAAACGCTGTACTGATGCCAATGCTGATGAAAAATGGTTGCCACATTCCAGAAGCGCAGTTGGCAATCTCGCATTAAACATGATAAATGAATTCAAATCATTTTCACCGCAATAACTCGCTGCCGGAACGAAGGGGAATTTTCGGGCGAATATTCAAAGGGGTTGTGTTGCCTGGAAATGAAATGATAGCTTATCGGCAATGCCTCTCCAAATGCCAATGATGCTGTGCGGTTGCGCTGTTGCGGGCTAAAGGGGCTTTTGCAGGGTACTAGATGGGGCACAAGGAGCTGCAAGGACACCCAGAACTTTTGGCAGTGGCAGCCAATGGCAACCATTGCCTGAGAGACAACAAACAGTAAGCAAACGTGGCAGACATTGACTAAAATTGAGTAGAAAACGATACCGCAGGAGGAAGATATATTACAATTGCCGATCACAGGAAACAAATGAATATTTCATGCTGTGCAAATCAACATGCCAAGGGAGGGGGAAAGGGTGTGCGTGGTCGGAAGCACACACACCCTGGCACACACACTCAGGCACTTCCGACATTTCCTGCAAAGTTTACGTTAAAAGGTGCGCCGGCAAGGAGCCACAACTTTCTGTTGACAAAAGTTTTGCGGTGAAATGCCACAGGAGTAATTTGCAAGAGGTCTGGACCCAAAACTTCCCCGCTCTCCACCGAGGCCCGGAAAAGCGTTCCCACACATGAACAGCAGCGGTCAGCACATCAAGGCTCAAAAAAACAGCAAGGAAGTTTTCTTGCTCATGAAAACTGAAGGACATCTCTTTATGTCCGCACCGATGCGCAAAGCAGATAGTTCCCTGATATTAAAAGTAGTTCTGAGATAATCCCGCACTCAAACTAAAAATAGTAAAAAAAAAATCATATTTAAATAGGTGAATACTTAGTTAATGGGCGTATGAAACCAATGTAGTGAGATTAAGTCGCTACGAGCGCGCTATTCTGCTGCCCGCGAGTGCACCTTAACTTTACCCCCGGTGACATATGTGCCTTCGGTTTAAGACTGCTGCTGTGGCTCCATTTCGGTCTCTTGGCTGTTTCCGCCCTGGGCCCAGGCATTAATCATTCGGCATGTAAATTGCCAATTAATAACTGCTGCATGTCATTTGGCGTCGGCTGAAAAATGCCACGCAGAATTTGCCATCATCAGGGTTGAACGAACGGACTGAAGAACGTCGGAATCTTGCAGGGGAGCTTGCCAAAGTTCTAGGCGCATTCGCATTAATGAAGACAAATAGCACTTAGGCCCTGCCAAATTTAGCGGAAAATTGAAAAAAGCTTCGCAGCCAGCAGTTGGCAGCTCCTTTGTGCCATAGTTTTTGCCACCCCATGTATGCCTTGCCGCACTCTTGGCAGCCAGTAAACCAGCTTCCAGTTACCAGTAACCATTGGCAGAGATATTGCAGTGCTATCCACAATTTATTTGTTATTGATACGCTGGCAATGCATTGCACACACAAAAACCCATGCATACGTGAAGGGCTGAGGGACAAATTGTGCACTATATTGGATGAAATATAAAATATATTTATTGTATTTTCGCATCGTCTGAGAGGGCGGAGTCACCAGGGCATCGGTTCAACGAACGTATGAAAATTTATGCCTGCAGACCAAGTGTCATGGGAGAAAAAATTGGGTAGAAACCCGAATTTCAAATTGTATTCAGTCTGGCTTCCAAATAAAGTGTGCAAGTAAAAGTAATAGAGGTCAGCTCTTAAGCCTTTATATGAATTTTGAATTTGAATATGCAAAATCAGTTTATCTAAGAAAAATATCAGTAGAATACACAAAAATATACATTTGGACAGGAGTGGAAACATTGTGCAGGAATTAATGAAATGAAAATAGCTTTTAAGTTTTAAAGACATTATTTACTTACAAACTGCGTTTAGTGGCTTAAAAACTGAACAAGGGGCTTAGGACTAAGCTTAAGTGACATAAAACAAACAAAACTTTTCAAACGGTTTCAAATGATACCAAGCCTACTATCAGCCTAAATTCCATGGCCTTCTCGCAGAGATAACTGTTTTCAAAAAATAGCACTTGGCTAGGAACAAAAGTGCAAGTGTTTCAACAATAAATACAACGAAAAGGCGGATTACTCGAGTGGGTTCCAAATGAAAGACGCCCAGGCAATCCAACGCGTCTCATAAAGCAGCTTTATTTCTGGCTTATCCTGCACCCACTCTCCATTAGTTTTGGCAATTTGCAAAAAGTGCTGCTCAACTGAAACACGAAGTGCACCATTGCCGAATTTCACACATAAGTTTGGGCCTAAATTCTACAGGGACAACTACTAAAAATGTATAATTTTCCTCGCATGCAGAGAAAGCCGAGCTGAGCTGAAAAAATAAAAGAAAGTGGCAAGAAAAATACGGAAGTGGAGAACTTTTGCTGCTTAAACATCTGCTTTTTGGCATGCACATGCGTATGGGGAAAAATTATTTATCAAAGCGCAAATCCTTTTGCACACACAGAGGAAAGAGACTTGGCGATGGCGAGTGGCAGATTCTCCTATGGCAACAATTTTACAGTGAATTGCACTAAATAACTGCCATTAAGCATAAAAGCTGTTCTCGCATGAAGGAGCTGCTGGCAGCATTTAAGCCAAATGCAAGTTTAAGCATCTTAGAGCTGGCGCAAATAAAGTGGACTTACGCAGCAAGGACATGGACGAGGCCTGGGATATAGACACGGATCCGGATCCGGATGCGGACCAATACGGATGCAGGCCAAATGAAAAGCAGAAATGGCGCATAAGAAATACGAATCCGAACGGCAAAAGCAAAGGAATCCGCCGAACCAAAGGCTCTAAAAAGCTGGCAAGGCCTGCACCAAACTGGCGAAAACTTTCGTCAAATGCCACGCAGTTTTGGCCCTCTCTTTTTCAGGCAGGCAGTGCTGAGTCGGCTATGTACCATGTCCCCAGTTCCATGTAGAATGTCCTGCCATGTCCTGCAGGCCGTCCTTGCAGCCACTAATGTGCGCAATTGTGTGGGCATCCTGATTTTTTCTGTGAATCGGGAGAGGATAGGGTATAATGTTCTCAAACACATTGGGAACGTTTGAGGAAAAAATATTAGCATCATTCAGGGAGTTATTTAAAAAACTTAATTTTCGTTCGAATTTTTAAAGTTTTTTACCCTAAAAAATTATAATACTATACAACTGTTGAAACTTATCTTAGATTTCTTCAAGTTTTTCAGAATCTTTCACTCTGTTCCGTTGCATGTTAAGCTTACATTTATATTGGTGTTATTTTTTTTGTTTTTTTTTTTTTGAAGGGCATGTTTCCGGCGGACCAAGTTTCTAACTCATTTTTCGCAGCCTTTTGTGTGTTTGTGTTGTGCTCAGACGCCGCTGCTTTTTGCTGCATTGCATTAACACAGATAAAGTTCCTTGATACATAATTTCCATGCATACAGAAGTGTCTCCCAGCACATGTGGCAAATCCCCTGACTACCAGATACTCCTCCCCCGAAATCCCCTGGAAAAGCGCTCCCCCGCCGCCACTGCTCTTTGGCAAACTGTGCCAACTTGCAAATGGCGACAAGATGCTGGCTGGCAAAAGTTTTTTCCTTCTGCTCGGTCCATCCAAACGGCCAAAAGGAGAAGTACAAACAAAAGTATTACGAGCGTGAGGGCTAAACGTTGCCAAATGCTCAGGCCTCTCCTCGCCGCAGACCCCTCGAGCGCCTTAAAATATGCAAATGCATTTGCGAGCGTAAAATAAACAGGCGCAGTCTAAAATTATAATCCCCTTGTATACGCTTCCCCGAACACTGAGAGAAACGAGGCTTTAAATCAAGATGGGATTTTCGAAGGCGAAGACGTTAAGGAGTTGAGCAAAATGGTCAAAAGAAGTCGTTGCACTTTTGGCTCGGACTAGTGAAATTTCTTGAAAGCATCTAGTTAGACATAAACTTTAGTTTGTTACATTTTTCAGTGTAATTCCTTAGCAAAGCTCAAACTGCTTTGAATAAATTAAACTAATATGAGATATATTCCTTTGTTTGTGCATTTTTTGAGCTCGGAAACCAACTTGCTAAAGTAAAATCTCGCAAAATATTTATCTTAGACTTGGCACATGTGGAAAATAACAGGCTCTGCTGTAGTGAAAACCGAAATATAATTAATAACTGTTGTAATGCTTCGTGTTTTTCCTCTCGTAGATAACCAATGTGGACACCGAGTACATTCGCACCATCGATAATCTGATTGCCACGCGGATCTCGCTAAAGCTGCAACTGCAGGGCATTCACTTTTCCAGCGTGAATCCGGCCATCTACAATAGCGTCTACGGGCTGAACTCGGTTTACGGGCATGGCGGACCGGTTTATGCCCCGAACTCGAATCCCGGCGGATTACTCTTGCGCTGCTCGGCGCAAATCGGAGACCTATACCAGGAGTACAAGGAAATCGAGCTGGGCACTCCGCAAAAGGATCCGGTACCGGCACGTGGTAAGTGTACGATAGTCGCCAGTCAATTACGCCAGATCCAACTGACTTCCGTTTCCGGTTTTTCGCCGGCTCTTCCGCTCTTCCGCTCTCCCGCTCGCAGTCACGCTCTCATCCGACACGAGCTTGAAGAACTTTTTCAGCTCGTATTTCTCGACATCGGCGGCATCGCGGCTCCTGCCCGGCGTCTACATGGCGCCGCTTATAATGGCCGTGCTGGCTGGCTTATTCCGGCTAATTGAGGCTGCATTTGAGCCCTGCGACGCCAGCAGCCAGGATCCCCAGTCAGCGGCCGGACATTCGATGGAACATTCCAAGGAGCGACGGGAGTCCAAGGAGCGTCCAGCTCCTGTGTCCAGCTGCAGCGCCTTCAAGGCGTCCCGACAGCAACTGGCCTGGCCAGGATCACGGACAGAAGGTCTGGGTCTGGCCTAGGCGTGTGTTACGAGTTAGTTCAATTCGAAATATATTGGGGGAGTGCGCTAGACCTGGGCAATTAATAGGTATTGGGTGATCAAACTTCCGACAACCCCAACTTGAGGGCTTGAATAATTCTTTATCAATCCACATTTGAACATACTTGAACCATTTTCGAAGGCCAGGAGAAGAAAACCATTTATTATTTAAACAGGTCTAGGGGACACCCGCACTTCGTTGATTTCAAGTATCTTCTTTTGATGACTGCTTTTCATGTTAACCCTTATTTTACACCAAAAACCACACTTTGAGATGTGGCGTCTACTAGCGAGCTAAAGAGAAAAACAAATTAAGTTTAAGCAAACATTTATAAACTAGCCTAGTCATAAACAAGAAAACCGGAGGTTGGACAGCAGAACGGAAGAGTTTAAAACCTATAAAGCAGGACATACACAATTCAAATATAAATGTTTACACGAACGAGATAAAGTAAAAGGAGAATATGCTAAGTATATGAAATTACTGATTCTACTTTTAATGTGCAAGGTAACACAAAAATAAACAGACAAACGACAAACAGAGCAGCATAACAAACCAAAGCCAGAAATCAAAGGTGTGTATCCGTGGGAAGGGGAAATGTGTGTAAAATATATTTAATGAAACATATTAAACTAATTTAATTTAAAGTAAATAAATCAAAGCCTTGTATGGGCATATTGTAAATGGTGGTGAAATTAAATAAAATGTGTGTTAATTTTAAAGTTGGCTGGACTTTTATTGTGAAACTGTAGCTGCGATATAAGTAAGTTCTGGACACAACTAGAGGAAAACTGAAAACTGAAGAGTAAATGGTAATGTGCTAATTCCACGATCTTCCCCATTTTCCTCCAATTTACTTAGGTTGTCTGACCGGTGACCCAAGGCATTTTCCGATTCAACAAATTTCACTGTTGATTTTTGGCGTTAAGAATTCTTACTCAACATTTTTGCAACAAAGGAGTGTTTTCTTTCGAAGTCCACCCTTTCTGGTTATTGTCTGCATTTAGTTTGCCTGCCAAAGTGTGAAAAAACTTGCCGTTACGCAGCGGAAGATGTGAAAGAAATATAGAAGAAGGAATCTAGTACAATGCAATGCACACTCCCGTTCCGCTTTTCCTGCATTTTCCCTCGTTTTTTGCCATTTCCGTTCTGCATGCGCATTTTGTATTATATTTTGTGCTTCCTAGTTTTCCTCGCAGCTTTTCCGAAATTATTGAAGCGCGCTTTGTTATTTCTTTTCAATTGCGGCCGAGTGAAGTCGTTCCATTTCTTTTTCCCATTCCAAGAGGGTTCGTTCTCCTCCGTCTGTTATCACAAATAATTGTGCTACGTATATATATACATAAGGATCCCCAGCTCTCACAAAAACATGCGTATAGTTGTTGCTTATAAAACTCCATGGCGAGGGAAATATTTGAATTGTGCGTGATAGAAAATATTTTAGCAAATAAAGGCGAGCAAATATAAAAATACATTCAAATTTCCATTCGTTTGCCCAGCGTCTGGAAAGTTCTGCGTTGTGTATTTAAATTAAATTGCGAACAAACAAGCACCAAAATAATGGCAGCCATTCTGAAATTGATGGCAGCAGAATGTATCAAAATACAAAACTGAAGTTATGGAGAGTCCTTCGCTTCAAGAAGGACCTTCCGCCGGCAATCTCAGATATGCAATCTCTTTTCACTAATCCAATTGAACTCGCACAAAGCATAAGTTTTTACAAATGTTTGTTCTGGAATCAAACGTAGTCAGAATTCTATTTTTCAGACAATTAAAAAAGGCTAAGAAGCAGTAATGTGGAAGTACTTTCGACAGTTGGCACTGGATGGAAATATACGATTCGGTTTGCTGAGCTTTAAAAGAAGAATTTCAAATGTTTCCAATTTACCAAACCGAATGAAGTAACACCATATATCCATTAATTAAGAGCCAAACCCGTAGACCACAACAAGATCCCTTCATTATTCAGTCCACACAGCCCATGCATGTTTTGACCCTCGGTCTGATTGGGAATGTGTTCCGCAAGGGCCAATTAGATACTCCATATCCTCGGCAGGACACGGCCCAATATTTTCGATAGCAAAACAGTGCGAAACAGTGGCTGGACTGCAGCAAAATGATGCAGTGCCTGCTAATTGAAGTCAACTAATTTGCATTGCAGATGGCAGCAACATGGAAAAGGCATGAACATATCCTGCGTTGGGATGTTACTGGTCCGCGGCTTATTTACGTGCCATTAGACGGCAGCGAGTACGTGTCTGCGAAAGGTCCTGCAAAAATCCGCAGCTCGCAGCAAAAAGCGATCCAAATTGAGTTTGACAGACCGCAGAGCACAATTAAAATCAATTAGCTACGCGCATCGAATTACAAATTGATTTATTTATGATGTTTCCAACCCAGCCACAATCGCCGATGGTTGGTGGTTGATCCTGATTCCTGATTCCCGATTCCCGCTTTCTGATTCCGGATTTCTCATTCCCCATTGCCGATTGCCCAGCTCTCGCCATATACTCGTACGTTTGCCGGAGGTCTCTGTTTGCCTTTCTCATGATATCCTGCGTTATCCTCCCGACCTGCGTGTCGCGGGATGTCAAGTGTGCATTTCAAATGGCCAACTAACGCTGTTGTCGCGTCGTCGCGTCATCGCTTCACCGTCACTGAAATCCCGATCCCAGTTCCCAGTTCCCCAACGCAAATCCCTCTGGCCGCCACTCCGGCAAAAAGCAGACATTGCCAGCAGACTGGCCAGCAGCGTAAATTGATTCCATTGATTCGCGCTCAAATTTATAGTTACCCAGCGCTTGGGGGACTGTCACTTGACTTTCGCTTTAGCATCACCGAGCTGGGCTTAGAGAGTCCACCGTGGGAAAATCTCACTGGGAAGATTTGTCGCACAAAATACTTAAAATGAGTTGTGGAGCGGTCTTCTCCTACTGCTGCACTTAAAGAATCTGAGGTGCATCTCTGCGGTCCCATGATAATATAAATAATAGATAGTTTCCCTTTTATTCGCCAGTGCACGGCTTTTAAGCTGGATTCAGGTGTGCCCGTGGGGTTTCCGCGAACGCAGGTAAAAGCGATACACACGGCGGATGTGCGATATTTATCGCCGCTTAATGGTAATATTTGTGCTGACGAAAAGAGTTCCATGCGCACGGAGCGTGATTAACGAAAATGTGCATTAAGTGTGCATGAATGCTCTGATTAATAGAGCAAGGACTCGCCTCGGACCGCATTAAAGCTGCCGCCGAGCAAATTTGCAATCACTTAAAGCAAAACGCAAATGAGGCAGCATGAGTGCACGATAAATACGAGAAGTGACAATGCAGCGCCGATAATCGATGTGGTCCAGTCTCTGAGTTCTTTTTCAAACCCGTTACTCGTAGAGTAAGAGGGTATACTAGATTCGTTGAACAGTATGTAATTCTTGAAGAATGTTTGGATATTTTTTCATTTTTTATTAGTCTCTATTATTTCTCTCTGAATTTTCTCTTTGCCACGTCCACTCTACTCTACTCTACTAATTTTGTAATTTTTTTGATGTATGGTGGTAGAAATTCAAAAATATTAAAAAATGTCCCAAGGCTGAAGTTCTAAAGTCCATAGCATAACTTATCTTAATCGGAATTTGAAGTGGCATACCCATAAATGTTTCTGGCGCAATTCCCTAAAAAATTGCATTCAAATTTATATATCTTATTTTTCTTTTTAATTTTTTTGTAATTATACCCGTTACTCGTAGAGTAAAAGGGTAGACTAGCTTCCTTGAAAAGTATGTAACAGGCAGAAGGAAACGTTTCCGACCATATAAAATATATATATTCTTGATCAGGGTCAATAGCCGAGTCGAACTTGATCTCAGGAACTACAAAAGCTAGAATGTTGAGATTAAGCAAGCAGTTCCAGAGACATAGACGCAGCGCAAGTTTATTTCCGAATGTTTAAACAATTTTTAAGTTATTTTTCCATGTATTACTTTGTCCCCAATTTCTACCGATATTACAGAAAATGCTGAAATTTCTCGTCTGCACTTCCACTAGCTGAGTAACGGGTATCTGATAGTCGGGGATCGCGACTATAGCATTCTATCTTTGTTTTTTGCCATCCTGTGGCCCGGGGAGATTTGGCACGCCTCGAACTCATTTAATTTCGCAGTGAACGGAGCAACTTGGCCTGTTGGCCTGCTTTTTATCACAAACACGAGTACACACGATGCAGCAGGGACGTAATGCAAATAAATAAATGCGAGACTGAGCTCCCACATCTGTTTCTCCAGCGGCAGATGTGACACTTTTCACATAACTGCAAATGGGCGAAATGCGGGACCTCAATGCCAGATGGACATTTTCATTCGGAGTTGCCTGCACCGCGGAGGATGTGCTTCCAAGGGCCCAGGACATCGCGCACTGGACATGGACAATTTACAATGGACGCGGGACATGAAGACTTATTAAGAAAAGTGTTGCAGCCTCATGAATAAACAGTGCAATGAGATGTGATGCGATGCGATCTGTTGCGATGCCTTCGAGCGGACTGAAAGCCAGTTGTCAGTTGGCAATTTCTTGAGTGCCGGTCACAATGGCTCGAAAAGGAAGTTCGCCTTAATGTGTAATATACTCGTATATGTGTATATATGATATAGATAAGAAATGAAAGGCCGAGCGGAAATGCAGCAGCTGATGACGTCAGTCCTGAAGAATGGTTACTATACTTGCATGCTCGTGGGAAAATTGTACTATCTTTTCTTACAGTGCATGCCAGCCCCTTTGGCATTCCTGAACATGAAAAGGTAAGCTTTGCCAACGCCTTCTAGTCCAATTTCGCACTCAGGCCTGGGAAAAAGGGTTCATTAAATTAACATTTAACATTTTAGATTTTCGGGCCGAGCTGAAAACTTCCACCGGACCTGCCTCGTTTATGCAAAGTGTCGCCTTATTGAATTTGCGCTGGACAACTTTTGTCATCGCCGGACAAGTGCTCCAAATGAGTGTGGAAAAGTTTGGCCAAAGTCCGGGACTTCGGGACTCGGGGACTTCTATACTTCTGGACTGGTCAATGATCTCTAAGCACCGGGGAGCATCACACATGACACAGAATTGGATTTAGAGTAGGAGTTGCTATTATATATGTACATCTATCTGGGCGGGAGATACTTGGACACGCGCACGCCTTCGTGTAATAAACTTCAAAAAATAATTTCGGCAACGTCTACAACGACAACTGAAACTTGACACTTTGCGAAGAAAGTTTCTGTGGCCCGAGTGTTGTGAGGAAAACGTAGGAAAATGTGAATGGGGAAGGGGGTGGAAGTGTGGCATGGGCAGTGACAGCTTAATTTAATTTGCGCACAAATTTCCAAACTTGTGAGTTATCGAAATTTCCACATAGTTGTAATGAATTATGCAGCAGCACTTCTAGCCGAGGATAACTGTTGCAAACTTTCAATATATACGCTCATAATTTAATTTGCTAGTGAGAAATCCGGAATTCGACTGCTTAAAAATCCAATTACTGGTGACAGTGGTCTCGCATGCCGATGCCAATCATCATAAAGCAGTTTTGGGCCCATCCTCATCCCCAAGCTCCCATGCCCATCAAATCAGATCGAATTAAGCCGTGGAGAGACGGATAGCAACTCGAGGGAGTTCGCTGGCAGTTCGCACGATTCGCCCAGACAACAAGAAAACTTTTAATCCATATTAAATGAACTTTTC